CTGCGGAGCCCACTGCGGATGCCACCGCAGAGCCCTGAAGCCGGAGAGTCAGAAGATCGTGTCCTAGGGCAGCGCAGTCCAGGGGTCTCCCGGGTAGCTCCCTCGGAGTTAAAGCCAGGTGGGCTTCCCGGGGCTTCTAGAAGCCCCTGGAAGATGAGGCAGACAGATCTCTGCGTCTGGGTGCAGGGCAAATGACTGGATCCGGAGAGCACGTGAGGAGGCGTCAGTGTTGCCCTGGCAATGGGGGTGCGCTTGGTGAGGCATTCATGAGGCAAGGCCTGGAGCCTTCACCCATTGGTCCTCCAGCCACAAAATGGCCTCCATCAATAACTGCAGCAAATTGGGGGTGCAGTGGGGGCTGAAAACCAGGAGCCAGGGCCAGAGGAACCTAAGAACAGGTCCCCAATGCCCCCTCTGCAGTCACAACCTGCCCTCATTAAGCCTGGAATCTCCACAAGAGAGGCAGGCTAGCTGTTCCCATGCCAGCATCCTCATCACACCTCTTTACACTGTGAGGCCAGCTCTTAACCAGGCAGGCAGCCATTGCAGAGGAAGGTCTGTGGGCTTGTGTGAGCCCAACACAGGAGCCATACAAGTCACTGAACATCTGTGCCCTGCACCTGTGAATAGGCAATAGAAAACCTTTCCTTACCATACGTTGCTGGATTTGACTGGCTGATAGGTAAAGATTTTTGCTAACTGTTCATGAGGGATATTTTCCTGTAATTTTCTCTTTTTTTCTTAACCATCACTTTTTAAAAAAATATATTTTATTGATTTTTTACAAAGAGGAAGGGAGAGGGATAGAGAGTTAGAAACATCGATCAGCTGCCTCCTGCACACCCCTTACTGGGGATGTGCCTGCAACCAAGGTACATGCCCTTGACTGGAATCGAACCCGGGACCCTTCAGTCTGCAGGCTGACGCTCTATCCACTGAGCCAAACCGGTCAGGGCTTAACCATCACTTTTTAAATCAAGATTTATTTCCAGGTTTATCCTAGCTTCACAAGATGAATTGGGAATTGTTCCCTGCTCCCCTATTTCCTGAAAATGTGTGAGATTGGCGAGTTTCATTCCTTAAACATTTGCTGGAATTTACCCATGAAGTCATCTGGGCCTGGATTGTTCTTTTGTTGTGTTTGTTTTGTTTTCAGGAACATTTTTTTATAGTAAATTAAATTCACTTCTAAGAAATAGGCCTATTCCTATTTTATATTTAACCTGTTGTCAGTTTTGATCAATTGTTTTGTTAGCAAGGAATTTTTCAATTTTATTGAATTTATCAAAATTGTTGACGTAAGGGTCCCCACAGCAGCCCCTCATTATTCTTTTAGTATCTGCATGATTCTATACCGATAGCCCTCTTTCATTCTTGATGCTGATGATTAGTGTACTTCTTCTTCTTGATTAGTCTTGCTGGAGGTTATACATTTCATTGCTCTTCTAAAAATATATGGCTTTGTTCATTTTCTACATAGTTTGTTTTCTATTGCATTTTGTCCTGCTCTTATCTCTGTTATTTCTTTTTTCTACTTATTTTGGATTTACTTTGCTTTTCTTTTTCTCACTTCTTTAGATGGGCTATTAGGGCATTGATTTTATGCCTTTTTTCTTTCTGATATGATTTAAAGCAATAAGTCTTCCTCTAATCACTTCTTTGGCTGCCTCCCACTAATTTTGATGTTTTATTTTTATTATCATTCAATTTCACATACTTTTAAAGTTCCTTTGTGTTTTCTTCTTTGACACAAAGAAGAAAGTGTGATGTTGAATTTCCAAACATTTGGGGACATATTATTGTTATTAATTTATAATGGAACTCCACTGTGGACTCAGATAACTTATTATGTAAACCTTCACTTTTTCTAAATGTGTTGAGGCTTGTTTTTATGGCCCAGTATTTGATCTATCCAGGTGAATGCCCTTGTAAAGAATCTATAGTCTGCAGTTGCTGGCTATAGTGTTCTGTAAATATCAATGAAGTAAAGGTAGTTGATAATGTCATACAGATCTTCTATATATTTACTGATTTTTTTTGTCTAATTTTATCAATTGCTGAGGCAAGGGTGTTAAAATCTCTGGCTATAATTGTGGAAATATCTCTCTCTTCCTTTATTCTGTCAAGTTTTATTTCCTACTAGAGGCCCAGTGCACAACATTCGTGCACTGAGGGGGGGGGGTTCCCTCAGCCTGGGCTGCACCCTCTCGCAGTCCAGGACCCCTCGGGGGATGTCTGCCTGCCAGCATAAGCCCGCTCCCTGGGGCGGACATCCCCCATGGGTCCTTAGCGCTACAGCGGAGGCAGGAGCCCGCCACTGCTGCTTCGATCGCCAGCCGTGAGCCTAGCTTCTGGCTGAGTGGCACTCCCCCTGTGGGAGTGCACTGACTACCAGGGGGCAGCTCCTGCGTTGAGCATCTGGCCCTTGGTGGTCAGTGCGCATCATAGCAACGGGTTGTTCCGCCATTTGGGTGATTTGCATATTTGCCTTTTATTATATAAGATAGCTTGAAATTCTGCTATTGGGTGCATACACATTTATGAATTCTATGTGTTTCTGACTAGCAGGCAGTTAGCTAAACTCAGACTCCAGATTCGGTCTCCCCTGTATTAGGCACCAACTGAAATCTCTGCTCAGCTTTTTTCTTGGAGTGCATACCCAACACAGGGCTCCCAGAGATTTGGACAGAGTGTATATGCCAAACGTGGGTTCCCTGTTTGTGGTTCTGCCTCTTTAGGATATCCCCTCTTGCTTTCCCTCTGCCCTGGTCACCCTGCACTCTGCCCTCTGGGTCTCTGGATTTTTGGCATCCAGCATGGCATCCTCTTTAGCCCGATCTCACACATGAACAAATATGCAGACAGGAAACTCAAATTCTACCAATTGTTTGAGGAAGAAATAATGCCAAAACTATACAAACTCTTCCAGAAAAATGAGGAGGAAAGACTACTTCCAACTCAGTCAATGAGGTCAGCATTACCTTTATATCGACTCTATACAAAAACATATGACAAGAAAAGTCTAGACCAGGGGTGGGCAAACTTTTTGACTCGAGGGCCACAATGGGTTCTTAAACTGGACTGGAGGGCCGGAACAAAAGCATGGATGGAGTGTTTGTGTGAACTAATATAAATTCAAAGTAAACATCATTACATAAAAGGGTACGGTCTTTTTTTTTTTTAGTTTTATTCATTTCAAACGGGCCGGATCCGGCCCGCGGGCCGTAGTTTGCCCACGGCTGGTCTAGACCTATATGCTCCATGAACATCCATGCAAAAAAATTCTAAACTAAATTTTAGCCAATTGAGTTCAATAAGAAACAAAAATGATAGCATAACATGACTAAGTAGTTAACCATGAGAATGCAAGTTTCATTTAAATATTTGAAATTTTATCTATGTAATTCAGCATATTAACAAACTAAAAACTAAAAACCCTCTAATCTCTATCTTAGTCCATTTGTGCCAGTATAACAAAATATCACCGAGTGGGTGGCTTATAAAGAACAGAAACTGATTCCTCAGTTCTGGAGGCTGGAAGTTCAAGATCAAAGTGCCAGTATGGTTGAGTTCTGGTGAGGGGTCGCTTCTTGGTTCATAGCCAGTGCCTTTCTGTGCATGTCCTCACATGGTAAGGGATCTCTGGAGCCCCTTTATAAGGGCATTAATCCCCCTGAGACCTCATTACTTCCCAAAGATCCCACCTTCTAATGCCTTTGGGGGTTAGGACTTCAACATATGAATTTTGGGGAGGGACACACTCATACAGTAGCAATCTTCTCAATAGATGTAGAAAAAGCAGGATATGACATCCATTCCTGATTTTTTTTTAAATCACAAAAAACTAGGAATAGAAAGGAACTTCCTCAACCTGATAAAAGACATCTATAAAAAACCTACAGCTAGGGGAGGGAGGGGGTAAGGAGGAGAAATCAACCAAAGGACTGGTATGCATGCATATAAGCATAACCAATGCATACAGACACGGGGCGGGGGGTGAGGGCATGAATGGGAGGGGGGAGCAATGGGGGATAAGGACACATATGTAGTACCTTAATCAATAAAAAAATATATGTACGCCCTAGCTGGTTTGGCTCAGTGGATAGAGCGTCGGCCTGCGGACT